CCCGCATAGCTGTCATAGCTGTCATAGCTGGTACCCTCTGGTAATTTAACATAACTATGGAAAATCACCATTTTTAATGGGAAAATCCATTATAAATGGCCATTTTCAATAGCTTTTTGTATGTTTACCAGAGGGTATCTGGGGCCAAGAAAACCTTGGAGCCAAGCAACTCCTCTGGGGCCAGTGGACAGATGGAGAGGATCAGCAACTGCAGGGTGACCTGAGGGCGACTAAAAAAACATGGTGATTTTTCGCTTTCAAATTGGCCAAGTTGATCCATGAAACACCTCGCTTTAAGAGAAAACTACAGGAAACCATGTTTTTTTTGCTAAAAAAACATGAATCAATGGAGTGTTTCAGGTAAGATCTACAGGAAAGCATGGTGTTTACATCCAAATATTAGTGTTTCCTGGTTCTTGCGTTTCTCGAAGCGATGATGTCGGTTGTGCTAAAGGATTTCAGGTGTAAGTATTGGCGATTCTAACCAGTCATCAACGAATCCATGGTCTATTGCAGCAGCGGGGCTACCAGGCGAGTTAGGGTATCCTAGTCAATGATTAGTACATGAGTGGCATCAATGAAATATGTATGCAATATTTATGTGTTTGATACTTGATACATTTTACATTCTATTAAATTCCAATATACAGTATCATACTGCATCATCTACATATACATCTGTGTGAATGATATCATATAGCTTATATTCCAATCATTCCCAGGATATTTCTGAGTTCCAAATAGTTCCAATAAAAACGTCGATAAACTATGTCATACCAATTTATATATACTGGGATTCACCCAATGCCAGAAACCATCCCCAAGTCGTGCGATCAACCATCCCAAAAAGGGGATGGAGATTTATGGCAGGGTTTTTCCTACAGTAATGTTGGTAAAGCAATAGGATCCACCATCCCCAAATTTAACATAAATGGGTGCTATAAACTATTATTAATATTAAGGTAAATCAATTATATTATTATATATTAACATTCACCATGATTGACAGTTATGAAACCATTTTTAACCAAAAAACTGACCACTGTGAACCATTCTTATTGGGTTTCCCACATGAAACATACCAAAAATCTCTAAAACTCCCAGCATTTCCACCACGCCACCGGCGGTACCAACAGCTCCGTGTCCTGAATGGGCGCCGCTTCACCCTGCGCATCGCTGTCGAAGATCTTCTGCCGGAAGCGCGGTGGAAGGCCCAGGCGTCGTTGCAGGTGCCGCTTTAACTCCTTGGAGACTTGGACAGATGGAGAGATGGGAGGATTTCGATGGATTTTGACCCTAATTTTCGTAGGGATTTAACATGATTTAATGCTGTCATGGGGATAGAACAGAGGTTTTATGCCCAGTTTGATAAAAATTAAAAATATGGATATGGGGATGTTGTAAGATAGATATGATAAGGATGTTTCAAGTTTCTATGACTTTAACGGTCAAAGTGGGGAAAAAACTGTTTCGATGCGTCCGCGCGTCCGCCACCGAAATGGTCGCAGTCGCCTCAAGGAAGTCCTCGGGCGACAGCTGCAGTTCTTCGCCCGAGGCCATCCACTGGATCCAAAGCATGGCGTCATGGCGGTTGACCCCGTCGACGCCAGGGAGCCAGCTGAATCAACAGGGTGGCTGTCCCCAAAAAGCCAAGGACGGCGAAGGGTACTGGATAGTACTACTGTGGATGGAAGTTGCGAAATCCTGCACCACCAATTTGGGATGGCTGAAACCCTATAATGGCACAAGCCATGTATCAACTGGTGCAGGATTTCGCAACCATCCACAGTAGTAGTAGTAGTAGTAGTAGTAGTAGTACTACTACTAGTGTAGTAGTATCAGTATCAGTATCAGTAGTAGTAGTAGTAGTAGTAGTAGTACTAGTAGTAGTAGTAGTAGTAGCAGTAGGAGTAGCAGCAGCAGTAGCAGGAGGAGGAGTAGTAGTAGTAGGAGTAGGAATAGGAGTAGGAGTCGGAGTAGTAGTAGTAGTAGTAGTAGTAGCAGTTGTTGTTGTAGTAGTAGTAGTAGTAGGAGTAGGAATAGGAGTAGTAGTAGTAGTAGTAGTAGTCGTCGCAGTCGTAGTGGTAGTAGTCGTAGTAGTCGTAGTAGTCGTAGTAGTCGTAGTAGTAGTAGTAGGAGTAAGAGGAGTAGGAGTAGTAGTAGTAGTATTAGTAGTAGTAGTATCAGTAGTAGTAGTAGTAGTATCAGTATCAGTAGTAGTAGTAGTAGTAGGAGTGGGAGTGGGAGTAGTAGTAGTAGTAGTAGGAGGAGTAGTAGTAGTAGCAGTAGTAGTAGTAGCAGTAGTAGGAGTAGTAGTAGTAGTAGTTGTAGTAGGAGTAGGAGTAGTAGTAGTAGTAGTAGTGGGAGTAGAAGTTGTAGTAGTAGTAGGAGTAGTAGTAGTAGTAGTAGTAGTGGTAGTGGTAGTAGTAATAGTAGTAGTAGTAGGAGTAGGCGTAGGAGTAGGAGTAGTAGTAGTAGTAGCAGCAGTAGTAGTAGTAGTGGGAGTAGGAGTAGTAGTAGTAGTAGGAGAAGGAGTAGCAGGAGAAGGAGTAGTAGTAGTAGTAGCAGTAGTACCAGTAGTAGCAGTAGTAGCAGTAGTAGCAGTAGTAGCAGTAGTAGCAGTAGTAGTAGCAGTAGCAGTAGCAGTAGCAGTAGCAGTGGCAGTAGCAGTAGCAGCAGCAGCAGCAGTAGTAGTAGTAGTAGTAGATGTAGTAGTAGTAGTAGTAGCAGTAGTAGGAGTAGTAGTAGGAGTAGGAGTAGTAGTAGGAGTAGTAGTAGTAGTAGTAGTAATGGAGTAGTAGTAGTAGTAGTAGTAATGGAGTAGTAGTAGTAATGGAGTAGTAGTAGTAATGGAGTAGTAGTAGTAGTAGTAGTAGTAGTAATGGAGTAGTAGTAGTAGTAATGGAGTAGTAGTAGTAGTAGTAGTAGGAGTAGTAGTAGTAGTAGTTGTAGTAGTAGGAGTAGGAGTAGGAGTAGTAGTAGTAGTAGTAGTAGTGGGAGTAGAAGTTGTAGTAGTAGTAGTAGTAGTCGTAGTAGTAGTAGATGTAGTAGTAGTAGTAGTAGTAATGGAGTAGTAGTAGTAATGGAGTAGTAGTAGTAGTAGGAGTAGGAGTAGTAGAAGTAGTAGTAGCAGTAGTAGTAGTAGGAGTAGCAGTAGCAGTAGTAGTTGGGATTGGGATTGGGATTGGGAGTTCAATGGAAAACCATTGAAGTACCTAGTTTTTGCGAATTCAGCCCCCGGGTCGGTGACCCCCCTTCAAAAAAGGGGGTGTCATATTAAGGGTGTATTCAAGCACCACTGCAGGCGGACCAACCATCTATCGTTGATGGTCACCTTCAAAAGGCTTGGTGAAATCATGATAAATTCCCATGAAGCTATTAATCATCCTTTATTATGGTTGATTCCTCCAGATTCCTCCAGGGGGCCAAGGGGGGGGTTATGTTTACTAATCCTCAAGTTTATGAGAAAATGAATCATCTCCGGTGCTGAAAATCCTCCTGGATCAGCCACCTTCATGCCATTCATCAGCCACATGGCTTGCCTCGGAGCTGCGCAAGTCACTGGTAGCACAGCAAGCTGTTTTTGTGAAGGCCAAAGTGTGGCCATTCCTAGGGATGGAACTGTATGACACCAAAAACTTACCATCTGGGTGTTTAACATAGCCATGGAAAATCACCATTTTTAATGGGTAAACCCAGGTAAACCATCTATAAATGGGTCATCTATCCCATGGCTATGTTAAATAACCAGAGGGTAAAAGCATCAACTTCTGAAGATCGGCAAATCTCGCAGCTTTCATTTGAGAATCGATCGCAACAGTTCTCCTCATCCATGTCGAGCCATTTCCAAAACACCGTACATATGCAATGCTGCTTGTTGGTTGATGGGGATTCCTGTACTGATACAGTCACTCTGATCAAAGAGCAGAACCGCTTTCGACCACGTGAAGAATCAAACTTTGACTGCAAAGGTGTTAAGATCCATCAAGTTCATAGCAAATTCCATAGCGAAATCGGTCTCGCTCAAGGACCGCAACTTCGATAATGTCTACCCCAAGTTGATGGTCAAGAATGTTGCGCCATAGCCATGTTGCCATGTTGTCCTTTTGAGGAAGATAGAGGGCTGAGTTTTGTGCCATCTTCCTATAGGTTCATCCAAACTGGGGATGGGTCAAATCGGGTGAATTTCCCGCAGGCTCTTGGTCGACCTTTGAGTGGTCCAAACGGGTCATGCTTAGTACTGAGTCATCCGTGTTAACCCTCAAAAAAAAACAAATAAATGTGAGTCTCTCACTATTTTAATGGGGTTTTACTTGTCTATCTTCGTGGGGATTGCTACAGTTCATATATGTACATATATATAATATATAATATAATATATATATATGTATAATTAATTAATTAATTAATTATATATATATACTACTTATATATATATCATGAAATGTTCATCCATTCCAATGGTAACAGCGTAGGGGCCGCTTCTGAGAATCCACACGTCCAAAAACTCGCACGGCCACACGCGCTGATACAGCCATTGCAGGCCTGGTGTTTTCTGGCAGCAAAGATGGTGGGATACAACTCATAAGAATGGGACACAACCAACAAAATAGTGATTTAGCGGAATTTAATGGATATAGTAATAAGGATATGATTGGATACAACTGGATATGTATGTATATATATATTACCTTAAATATAGTGTGATATAGTGTGGATGTTTCGTTGGATGAGATTAGAATTCATCACCAGCTGGCTCAAGTGACCCTGATGTCATGCTGGGTCCTGCAATCGCTCCGCGCTTTTCATGCTGGGATCCTCCAAGACCCAGAGCGCCGCTCCCCACTGCTGTGCCTGGTGGAAAACCAGTGAAACGGGACCCATGCCACGGCATGGGGAATGGTAACATATGGTAACCAAATAACCAAACCAAATCGAGGCATCACACGAAATGCATCTTGAGCTATTCTGGAAGCCAATCCCACTTAGGAAGCAGGGAAATCCATGGAAATCCAACCACAACAACCACAACCATACACCCTGCAATCCAGATCCGGTACCACCCCATTCACGAACAAGAGTTTGCGACTCGAAAGACTGTTTTTGATGGAAAAAAAACTCTTGGTTCCATGAAATTTCAGTAAATCTATCCAAAGTTCGATGGTTCTCAGGAATGTTGACAGAAAACCCAGATCTGTTTGGACTCACCTGTCAAGACCCCACAGAAGCCACCTCCAATAGGCCTTTGATTGACGCATTTGGGGCCTGGACGTGGCTCAGTGACCGCTTGGCAACATCCTTGAAAATAAAGTGCTGTGTCATCATTCCCAAATAAAAACCATATGAAAACTATATGAAAACCATATGAAACTAGAAAATGGCGAAAGATGATAAGATGATCATGGCTTTGATCATGGCTTTGATCGTTGCTGGAGTGGATGGCTGTGCGTCCAATGCTGGAATTGCCAGCCTTCATGAATCTGGTTGAAACTATATAATTCACCAAGCTGACAAAAAAATCGCTAAAATCATTAAATTTAAATCATACATCGGCCATGAAATCAAAATTTCCCATGAAAAACCTCCATCAAAACTCCCAAAAAGCCCGAAAAATAAACCTCAGTTTTTTGGGAAAAAAAATCTTGATGGCCTTCCGGCGGCCATTGCGCCGCGCTGCTTGCGCTTGCGCATGCCCTGTGGCTCCTCCCAGGTCGGTGATTTTGGGAGAAGGCTGTATCTTTTTCCAATGATCAATGTTTACTAAGTTTACTTCAAAAATATGACACTTCTCCGGAAAAAAACATGGTGTGTTCATTTCCAGTTTGGAATTCCTCCGAAAATTGACTTCCTCCCAAAATGGCATCATCTTGATGGGTGGATCCATGGGGAAAAGATGCAGGAAATGAGCAGTGTGTGTGAGTACTTAATTAAGGACCTCAATATAGACATCATAGATATGGAATGATATGGAATGATATGGATGAATAAAAATGAACCTTTCGTGGGCCCTTTTGGCCTTGCCCTTGAAAAACTCCTCAATGACTTGACCCATCAGTTGGTGACATATGATATACCAATCTGAAATTCTGATAAATTGTTGGTGATTCATAATCAAATCAAATCACATATGTCAAAATGCTGAACAGCTTGCGGCTTGAACCCCCTAAAGCCCCCCCCAAAAAAATCGAAAATCCCCCGCAACATCACCTGGAACTCCGTGACCGTTGGCATGGCCATTGGTCACCGCATGACCATTGGTCGCCGCATGACCGTTGCTGGCTACGGGCGGGTCCAGCGGACGCAGCTGCAGCATGACGCCATGGGACGGCCGACATGGGCCGAGAAAAGTTCTTCGGCAGAAGCCTGGGGTACCCGTGGGAGAGCTGATTTTACCGTGATTTTTTTTGGAGATTTATGGTGTGAATTATATTGAATTAATGATCTAATGGTTCGAACTCGCATCAAAACCGCTATTTCCCACAAATGGTGCACATTTTGGCCCGAAAAGAAAGGTGTTGGAGAGGCAAATCCAATGAAGTTGATATGTAAGTTGTTCATCTGGAACCCAGACCCCCAAGGAACTGCACCTAGGCTCATCAATTCATGTCAAGCTCTCCAGGACTAGGTTTTACATGGTTTTACCGGGTCCATGGCATCCGGAATCCCCAGTGGTTACCACTGGTATGGGTCAAAATTGGGTACCCCTCAAATGGGATGGTTAAGAAAAATCTCTGGTCCAGTGGGTTTTCAATGTTGACCCATACGGTGGGTTGAAGCTTGCCACTTGAATCATGTGTGGGGGTCGTGAAAAAAGATGTGGAGCATATGTCCCATGTTTCGCTCCGAGAGATGTAGCAGGTTGCTAGTGCCCATCATTCGGATGGTTTCTTCTTAGGTTTTGTATGAGCTGAAGCCGGAAACTCCACCCGCAACGGCCGTGATAGGTAAGTTGATGAATAAAAATTCTAGGATTTGACGATTGGATGTTTATCATGGATATATCATGACATAGCTCCCTCAACATCGATTCCTGTCACACGTTCTGTGAAGTGCAAGTCCCCAACATTTGCTGGTGAATCTCGGGGCTACATCACCACTTAGATTGTGAAGTTCAAGATTCCATTTGTTGCTTAAAAAGAAACCAGCATGTTTCTCTCAAATTGTTCTTTACCCGACATGTTTCATCACTTGGTATAATCATGATCACAATTTTCACCATCATCCATTTTTCTATCGCTTGAATCCGGGTTTTATCCGAATTTTTCCTGGTTACCATCTGGTTATTTAACATAGCCATGGAAAACCCTTATAAATGGAGGTTTTAATGGGAAAATCATCTACAAATGGGCCATTTTCCATGGCTATGTTCAATAACCAGAGGGTAAGTTTCAAGTGTGAGTTTAAGACTCTCTTTTTCCACCGATGAATACCCAACATTTTTCACCATCAACTGACCATCACCAATGTCAGGCCCCCGTCCTTGAGCCGCCCTGTGGCCATCTGTCTCGCCTCCCTGACGTGAACACCATGAGGCTCCAGGGCCTCAAGGTCGATGGGTCAACAACCTATCAGGTGCATAGACTTGGATGTGACTATGGCTATGTGATAAAAAAGGGCCACATAGAATTATAAAAACCTCATTTTTCACGTGACTTTTTAGCCGTGGAAATTTAATGATTTTTCATTCACCAACATTTTTCGAGCCAAGAGGGACGATCAGAATTCCCAACCTCAGTGCTATTGATTTTATAAAGTTCTATAACAACCACGTGTCAGATCTTATTGCTGAATAATGCACGATAAAGTATGGTTTCAATCCCACAACCACCCTGGATGATGTTTCAAACAAACAACCTGGTACCTCATGGTTTTCAGAAATAAGAAGACATTTATATATATATATATATACCCAGAGTATCTCATGCTTTGATACCCATAGCATCTCTATTGCTAAGCCACGGTAACCAAAAAAACACGACAAGAACAACCAACTGAAAAAGAAAAAGAAAACGAATGTTTACATTTTCACCATCAAACGCCATCCACCTAACTTTTCATGGGTACCCCCTGGTGATCAGACATGGCTTGCTGGAAAATGACTCATTTACTTCGATGATTTTCCCTGCTATAAACCTCCATTGAGTTCAGGAATTTCCCAGCTAGCCATGTTTGATTGCCGAAGGGCAATCCCCATGCTGGTTCTTGCTGGTTCTATCCCCATGATAATCCCATATGAATCCCATGAAAAATCATGCTAAATTTCAGAGTTTTTCATGCTACATCCTCAATTGATGCCACGAAATTGATGTCATGTTTAATATGTGACTTACATGTGGTGAGATGTTTCACTTAAAAATCAAAAAGGTCATGGTCATAGTAAGACATGCAGATGATATTTCTTTGAAACCATACACCCAGCGATGAAACAAGATCTGGGTAAATTATAATATTTCACAAACCTTAATTAAGGCCATTTGGGGATGATTCCCTTTATTAATCATGATTCCCAGTGAGGTCGCAGTGAGGTCGTTATAATTTACCCAGATAAAATGATCCAGCAGATCCAGCAGAATCCAGCAGAATTGTCCAGCGATGCCTTCAGTCCACGATTGATGCCTTCCTCCAACTGCGTCCGCAGCGCTGCCTCCATCGACTCCTGAAGGGGGCGCTGGTGTTGGGGATGGAAAAATGCTGGAAATACCCTAGGGATCCATAGGGATCCATAGAATTACATAGATGCCCAAGGATGTGGAAAAAAACCTCATGGTGTTGGGGATGGAAAAATGCTGGAAATACCTAGGGATCCATAGAATTACATAGATGTGAATCCGGAAAACCCCTGAGGTTTCCCCTTCGGACATCGATTTATGGTGTGTCCACATCTATGGCAGGGTATCCATGAAAAAAAACATGGGAATTGTTGGACACTTGGGATTGTTCATGATCTTTGGATGATTTCTTAGGGGTGACTTTTTTGTTTCGTCATATTCTGAAACTCTGAAAGGGGAGACTTGGGCCAGATTCTGTGAGAATATGAGAACAGTTGACCCTTTAAAAGGGCGGATCTTATTATGTGCTTTGCCAAGCTTCCAATTATGTACAAGACTAGAAAAGAAAGGATTCCCGAAGCAAATCAAATGGTTGATGATTGGCATATGCGTTTAATATCTTCCCATCGCTGAGTTCCAAGAAAATATCTCACAAAACATCATCCATAATTATCAACTGACTCAATTTTTACTACACTCTTCAGATTTCCATATATAGATTTCCATTTATATAGATGTTCCATATTATTTCCCATATGTTCCCCATATATTTTCAGCATCTTCACCAGCATTTCCACCAGCATCCTTTTCCTCGCCTCGTGCGCGGCAATGCCTTCACAGCGCTCCAACAAATCGCTGAGTTGTCCTGCTTTGGGCTTCACCTCAGCAAGGCCAACAGATTCGCAACGCTCCGAGCGCTATGGCCCTAAAATCCCTAAATCACGCATCAAATTTATACTAATGTTGTGCATATACTATTAATCATACAAAAATATCATACTTAATTATATTATTATCATACTTATATTATTATCATACTTATATCATACTGTATTTCATGTACTTATTATTCCTATACTATTAATCATACCTGGTATATTGCACTTTCTGTGCGTCTTTCCCACGGTACCGTTGAATTCCCAGAGGCCACTCCGCCAAGTGGCAGGAGCATGAGTGATGTCGTTGCCCACCTGGTACCGCGGGTTTTTCAGCATGGAAAAAATGCCGGGTCTAAGCATGGGAAAATAATGGCTTTAACCATGGTTTAACCGTTTAACCCTTGGAAAATTGGATTTTGAGCTAAACAAAAAGTGGAGATTTATGGGATATCATTATGATATCATTATGATATGACGCAATAACATGGTAACAACCACCATTCGGAGACGGCCCCCGATCTATGAGATGATAATCTTACCGTAAAGTGACCCCGATTTCAATGGTTGCTGGGATGCTTTGCTACTGGGTTTATCACACGAATTGTCATACTGCATGAAGATCCAATACTGTGTTAAACACGAACGTCGTGATTTGTGAAGGTTCAAGATCCACTAACTGGGTTTTAGAAACCTCATTTAAGGTTGCAAAGGGGCTTTAAGAGTATCGATTTGGTAAATTTGGGTTCAAAGAAATGATGTCCTTCCATGTCCGCTTGGGAAATCCTGGTTTTCTGTTACCATTTACCATTTACTGTTTACCTTGTCTCAGATAGGCAGAACAAAATACTTTGGGACCATCAAATCTTCAGCGTTTTGCCTAGCAGGACATCGTTTATGCGAGACATCGTTATGTTCACTGAGCCTGGCTGCGACTGATACAATGAATACCCCAAATCCAAGCATTTCATCAATTTCATCTGTGGTGAAACCGTCGCGCGCCTCAGGTGCGGAGCCCTGCGACGGTGAGCTGGGGTTTCCCCAGCAACCCACCAATTCTGTCAGCCCAAATCATGGAGGTTGGGGATCTTGGGGATCAAGCAGCACAGACCACCATCCCTGGGGGATTGCCGGTGGTCATCCCGGCTGTGTTGGATTTGTTTGCGCGGCCCGGACTGGAATTTGACCTTCCAGACTGGAATTGAAATGAATTGAATCTTCAAAAAAGAAACCACCTAAAACATCCTAAAAATGGGTATGGGTTCAAATTGACCAATCAAAGAAAGCAAACAATGGATTCGAAACCACCAACCTTGACCAATAAAATCCAAAAAATGAAGGTTCGAATCCCGGCGAGCAATGGGCCTACAATGGCCTACAGCTAACCCAATGATCAACAGCTTGGGGTTACCACTTCGGGGTGACCATTCCAAGTATCTTTTGCACCTCATCCCCTGCCTGAATGTGAAGCAACAGTTCTGCTGCCAGCGCACGCGTGGGCTCACTATGCGCAGCTCCTAGCAGTGTTTCGGTCGCCCGCAACGTCGTCCCTTTCAAAAATTGCTTGGTAGTCTCCGGGATTCCCTGGATTGTGATATTCCCCTGTTAGAACATTGGTATACCCTCTGATAAACTAACAGTTCGCTATTGAAAATGGCCATTGAAATAGTGGAATTTTCCCATGAAAAATGGTGGATCTTTCCAGTTCGCAAAATGTCAACGTTTACCAGGCCGGGTAATCCCCTAATCATCATGCACCAACAGGGCTTCAGCCACTGCCCATCCCAATGGGTCCCCATGGGTCCCCATGGGTCCCCATGGACCGATTTCAGCAATGCGCAACTGCCCGATTGAAAAAACCCACCTGTTGCGCAACAGCCCCATTTCAGCCCAAAAAATTCTGGGTTCAATCCCTGATATCATCTCCAAAAAAAAACCAGAGTTGCCCAGTCTTTCCATCTTTCACATTTCGGTATATTAAACCATCTTTTCTTGCTAAAACCATCTTAAACGCCCATATTTCTCAGGGTGTTTTTCCCCACAAATCTAGAAACATGGGCGCCAGCTGCCCGCGGCTGTCCTTTGTTGGAGATGAGCGAGGCCAAGTTGCCACTGATTTGTTCCAACTTGTTGGCTGCAGGCCTGAGCTCTCGTCATCTGAAGGCACTGGCTTTTCTTGGGGGACTCCTATTTGATAGTAATGGATGTGTACATATATATATATACAGATATATATGTATATACACATATGTATGTGTATATATATATCTTCATATATATATATGTGTACATATATGTACTTAGCTCTAGATATGGATGGATAAACATAGAGATAGATATCGGATGCAAATGTAGATCTAAATCTAGATAAATAGACATTGTGTGTTTTGTGTGATTGCTGTTCATCATGGACGACTTCAGATTAATGCCGCGAAACAAATACATCCTGACCAGGCTTAAAATGCAACATAAAGCTCAATCAAAAGTTGTTATTTTGAGCACAACCAGTTTCCAGAAGCATTTGCTGTTACATCATTGTTTTCGTTGTTTTCGACGTGGATTTGGCTGTCATCAGACTCGTGCCGTTCCATTAGGGTCTTGGAGTTGGCGCAGGGTATCAACCCAAATCACGACGGCAAGGTTTGAGTTGGTTTTTGGGTGGTCTTTTCCCCCAGTCTTTATCTGGTTGGTGGTATACCCTCTGGTAAACTAACAGTTCGCTATTGAAAATGGCCATTGAAATAGTGGGATTTTCCCATGAAAAATGGTGGATCTTTCCATAGTTATGTTAAATTACAAGAGGGTACCTACCCCTCTGAAAAATGATGGAGTTCGTCAGTTAGGATTATGAAATTCCCATATATGAAATGGAAAGTCCTAAAATTCCATGGTTCCAGTCACCACCAAGGAGAAGGATTATCCCATATATGACATGGAAAAAATTCAAGCCATGTTCCAGTCACCACCAATCAGCCATAATTGTGGCTATCATTGACTCAGCTTCGCTATCCAATCCACCAAAAACTGTGGCGCCTTGCACCAAATCCCAGGTCCAAGTAACTTGCTGGTGCAGAGCAAGCCCAGCACCAAAGGAGCCAAGTCCACGTCCTGATGTGGTCATTTAGCTAACAAAAATGATGTTTATATCTGCATCTACATATATATATATACATAATATGTGTCTGTATGTATGTGTATATATATATAGCGTGTGTGTGTGTGTGATTTATGATAGGTTTTTGTTGGTGTATTTCACTAGGCTAACGATTGGATTGAAAAGGTGGAGATAACCAACGAGTCAACGGGTTAGATGTGGTTATAAAATGTTATAAACCAACAAACATCACTGGGGGGTCTTGTTGTGAGTCTCAAAGTCTTCAACCATCCATCTTTGGGGGTAAAGATGGGCAATGTGTCATCCGTTTTGAGCCAAAAAAAAACGTGTCCTTTATGTCAACCACAAGTTTTGAATTGATGGAAGAACAAAAAATTGGATACATCAAATTGGTGGATTACTATCCAAAAAATATCATCAAAGAATTGGGAAGATCTTAAACCATCCATCCTGAAATGCTCCGCTCCTCTAGCATGGCAGCCAAGCGAACCAGCGAGGAGGAGCCACCTATGAGTTAGGCGGGAGCCAGTTTTGTTAGTCGCAACTGGGGTCGTTACTTCGAAGTAGGTGAACGATTGGATTTATGCTAGATATAACTATAGCTAATGGATGTGAATGGGCTTTGTAAACCAACTTCTTTATTGGATTGGGATAAAGTATAAATAGGTGATAATTCTGTAGAACCATGAGCGAAAGGAAGTCAACTGGCCATTGTTCCATTGCGCCCCCAGATGCCCAGGCGGCACCCATCAAGACTTTGGCGAACTGAGGATCTTTGGCAGCCTCGAGATCCAGAACAAACGGGCAGCCCTCCATTCCCCAAAAACCCTGGTAGATTATCAGCCATTAATCATAATCAATCATAATCTCCATTATGAGTTGATCAATCATAATCTCCATTCCCCAGATCAACTCATTTTTCAGACATTTTCAGACTTAGCTGGACCACTGGGTGAATCCCATGGCAACACCACCGGGAAATCAAGGCCACCGGCCGCGCCTCTGGTCGATCCAAGGTGCCTTTCACCAACCTGAGGCCGGGAGCAACGGGCGAACCTGGTGGATTGCTGAAAAATTGAAGATATCATTTATTGGATACCATCTGGTTGTTTAACATAGCCATGGAAAATGATCCATTTATAGATGGTTTACCTATTAAAAATGGTGATTTTCCATGGCTACGTTAAATAGCCAGAGGGTAGTTGAAAAATAGATGGATAGATTGATAGAGCTTCCTGGTGGGAAAAGTAGACCCAAGCCTTGGACAGTAGATTCAAAGATCAATTTGTATAGTCTGGTAGTATAAACCATAGGAATAGTATAGATATATCATGATATATCACCTAGAAACCATAGTTATTGGAGTTATAAACCAACTTTTTTTTACGAACTGGGGCAAACTAAGACCCGAAAAGCCCGAAAAAGCTTCCCCTAAAGTAATTCACTACTGGACGTCCTGATTGAAGCTTACAACAAAAACCGGTGGCAAGAAACAGAGGTGTAACACAACTATATGGGTATGGATCAATACCTATTAATACCATTTTTAGATATTTTTAGGGGAATGAACATCCATTTACCAGCTATTTTGATGTTCACCAGGGGTACAAGGTTTTGACACACTGCCATATACACATTTAAAAAAAACTCGTGAATGTGCCAACGAACATATCAAAATCAGTGACTGTGTGCCCAATTCACCTGGAAGAAAAAAAAGAAGTCAGTTTGTCATTTGGGGTACACCTTTATCATCACTGGCTCCCATGTTTCCTGTTTTCAGATCACCAGCCCAAATAGCCGGTTCCCAACGGCTCATCAAGACACTTCAAGGCTTCCTGCCGATGACTATCCTGGAAATCGCCCGCAGCCACCATGGCGCCCAATAAGACCTGGGATGGCAGGTTTCTCCAAAGATTTTGGGTTTAAGCAGCCATGGATGATTCAAGCGTCAAGAAATATTCACAGCTGCTAGTCGTGATCTGATTGATCTAATTTTGGGGACAACCGGTCAATGAAGAATGGAGATCATGTTTTCTCAAATATTAGGATACCCAAAAAAAAAATGCGTTTAAAAAAATCATGGGATCAAGCCATGATGAATCCTGAACCGATTGGGATTTTTTCGGATGATCCATGCCACTGGTTTTCGTTTCCATCTGAGTCCATTGGCCCATGGGATGAGAAAACACCTTTTTTGAATCCAATCACAGCGATTTTTGTGGCCTTTAACAATGTCATGTTTACCAGGTTTACCACCCATGACTGGGAATGGTGCAAACAGTATACCACCTCTAAAAATGGTGATGACTGGGGGATGGTTTATTGTTGCTTTATCCACATTACTGTATCTGGTTTGTCAAGGTCAAGTCATCCCGCCGTCTCGCCAGTGCCATGATATGCCATCCAACACAGCCCTTCTAACCAGTTCCCCGGCCATCACTTATCTCAGATCATCCAGGTATGAGTGTGAGTGTTTTACGGACCACACCCTAACTGCAGGGGTGGGGGAGTGGCCCGCCTGTCCGCCTGTCCGCCTATCCGCCTAGTGTTGCACCCGGGTATTGAGCTTGCGTTTGATGTATGAGGGATGTATCTTATTTATTAGACCGTACGGGCCCTCTCATCCAGGTATGATGAGATCTGCCAAAAATCCAAATAGGCTCAAAGAAATAATAAACCATACATGGTATGGCATATTATCATATCGTATCATATGTTATGGCCCAGCTATGGCTCTTGGTTTTCTGAAAACCCGTTTTCAGGAGAAGAAAAGGACCAAATGATCGCCCCATGGTGCTATTGGTTGTCCAGCTACAGCCGCCAACAACGAACAGCTGGTACTTGTGGAGCGGAGCAAGGTCTGCAGGAGATCGGTGTTCCCCACTGGTCTGGATGAAGTACTGAAAGAAGGTCAGGATCGGTACAGCCCCAGCATAACCCAACTAGTCATAGCCTTCTAGGCATGTACAACACATACTGCATCAATAGGATGAACCGCCAAGTGCCATGCTGAAAAAAACATTCAGTATCTCATCACTACGACAAACGGTCACAATCACTTCATTCTCCAGAGTTCAAGTCTCACATCTCATCAAAATATGGTAGTATCATGCAGTACCCTAGATTGGTGGAGGAGATAGATCCACAGTACTGTATACCATGTTTTTTTTATAGTGAACATCTTCAAATTTCCCAAGTCTCCAGGATGGTGAAAGTCCCTGGCCAACTCCGCCAAATCCCAATGCCCGCTGCTTGTCCAAGAATCATCCCGAACCCCCCAAAAGCATTTTAGAGAATCTCCAAAGTCATGAAACATCCCGGGAAAAAAATGCCAAAAACATAACCCATCCAAATTCATCCAAAACCTTCCGGCTGTACCACATGTTTTTCCCAAACAAGATCATCAACAAACATGGAGGAAATCGAAAACAACAAACCAATATATATATACTATTGTAATATCTATAAATATATATATATATACATATTTGTACTATATTATATATATATACATATTTGTACTATATTATATATATACAAAAATTGGGGAAAAAAAAACAACCCCCCCTGCCTGCAGCACTTTCAATCCAACACCTCCAGGCTGTGCAAAGGCACTGCGCGTCCCCGCGTCCCAGCTGTACCACAAAAGCTTGGCTACAAACTCCTGCCACATGGCTGGGATATTCCGGCAGAACATGATTTTTTCCGGAAAAGTCACAGGAAAATCCGCAAAAACTTGAGGCCGGGGGTGGATGACGAAAGCTAGCGGGGTAGGAGAAAGAAGGAAGGGAAGAGGTGAGTTGCGGAGGGACTGTCATCATCGTGTCGCGGCATTGTTCGTCCCAACGAGGATGCAACAATGATATATTGATATATGATATATAACAATGATATATATGGGGGAGGGGGCAGGGGGGGGACCTTTCGCGGGAAAAATCACGGGATGTCCTTGGGGAGCCCCGGAATACGTGCTAAAGCAAAAAGACTCTAGCGAGCTGACGCTCGCTTTCGTGATAATGACAATAATTGCCAATAATGATAAAATGTAATTGAATAACGATGATGATGATGATGATGAATGATGAATGATGAATGATGAATGATGAATGATGAATGGTGAATGGTGAATCATGAATCATGAATCATGAATCATGAATCATGAATGGTGATGATGATGATGATGATGACGAGGATGATGATGATGATGATGATGATGACGACGATGATGATGACGATGACGATGACAATGACGAGGACGATGACGAGGACGACGACGATGATGATGATGATGATGATGATGACGAGGACGATGGAGAGGACGATGACGATGATGATGACGATGATGATGACGATGATGATGACGATGATGATGACGATGATGATGGTGATGTGATGTGATGGTGGTGATGGTGGTGGTGGTGGGGGAGGGGGGGGGGGGGGTGGCGGGGAAAAACACGTACTATGTGGCGCGGCGCGTTTTTCGCAAAAATTTACCCTACGTTGCGCAAAACAAAAAAACACACACTATTAAAAGATATGCTCTATACTGCACTTTCACCTGACCAGCCCCCTCAATCTGACCTTCTCCACCCGCCCCAACAGATGGTTCTTGCTCTTGACATGTCTTATCTTCTTGCATTTTCTCACCTTACACCCACAGATCAAACAGTCATCTTCCCTATGAAATTCCTTCGTGCATTTGCGCACTTCACTCTTACGTTCATCCCTATATTTCTTGTTCATCTCTTTCACTCTGTCACCGTTCTTTTGTTCTCGTTTTCTTATGCATCGGAACCCACATCACAGGTAGAATTGTCTTCCCTATACGTATCCAATTTTCTATTAGCCCACCACTTCCTACAGTTTTGAGTCGGTAACAATTTCACGTTCCACCCTGAAGGAACAATGATCTCGCTCTTACGTTTCTTTGTTCACAATTGCTTCGTCCATGCTTCAGCTGGGGCGTGGCAGGGAAGATTGGGACCTTTTTTAAATTTTGGATTTAATATTTATTTTATTTTATTTTATTTTTATTTTTATTATTTTTAATTATAATATTTTTTCATTATTTTTAATTATAATTATAGTATGTTTTAATTATAAAATATGTTTTAAATTATTTTTTATTTTTTTTATTTTTATTTTTATTATTTTAATTTAACAATTTTTACAGTTTTTTAAATCATGTCAGGATCATGTCAGGATACACAATAATGTCCTGTTTTTTTGTTCAACATTTTTCATTTTTTTTATTTTTTTACAGCTTTTTCCTTTTACTTTTTATTTTCCATGATTGAAAATTTTCAGATGCCTTCCACAGAAAATTACATCCAGGTACACAATAGTGTGATTTGTTTGAGGGGTACACTATTGTGTCCAGCTGCTTTCCTGAGGTCATGATTTTTTTTTCAATCATTTCCTTTACCTTTTCCTTTGCTTTACTTTTCCTTTTAATTAATTACTTTCTTAGTTTCTTTCATTTGAAATTCTCAGAAATGCCCAGTTTCCCAAAATATATGATGCCTTATTAAAACCCAATTAAAAAACATCACTGAAACAATTTTTCAAGGGTGTAGTCCATGAGCAACCCTGATACACAATAGTGTGGTTTGTTTGAGGGTACACTATTGTGTCCAGCTGCTTTCCTGAGGTCATGATTTTTTTCAATCATTTCCTTTACATTTTCCTTTGCTAGCTAAAGCTTTTTCCTTTTAATTAATTCCTTTCTTAGTTTCTTTCATTTGAAATTCTCAGAAATGCCCAGTTTCCCAAAATACATGATGCCTTATTAAAACCCAATTAAAAAACATCACTCAAACAATTTTTCAAGGGGGTAGTCCATGAGCAACCCTGATACACAATAGTGTGGTTTGTTTGGGGGTACACTATTGTGTCCAGCTGCTTTCCTGGGGTCATGTTTTTTTTTCAATCATTTCCTTTACCTTTTCCTTTGCTTTACTTCTCTTTTAATTACATAATTACTTTCTTAGTTTCTTTCATTTGAAATTCTCAGAAATGCCCAGTTTCCCAAAATACATGATGCCTTATTAAAACCCAATTAAAAAACATCACTGAAACAATTGTTCAAGGGGGTAGTCCATGAGCAACCCTGATACACAATAGTGTGGTTTGTTCGGGGGTACACTATTGTGTCCAGCTGCTTTCCTGAGGTCATGATTTTTTTTTTCAATCATTTCCTTTACCTTTTCCTTTGCTTTACTTCTCTTTTAATTACATAATTACTTTCTTAGTTTCTTTCATTTGAAATTCTCAGAAATGCCCAGTTTCCCAAAATACATGATGCCTTATTAAAACCCAATTAAAAAACATCACTGAAACAATTGTTCAAGGGGGTAGTCCATGAGCAACCCTGATACACAATAGTGTGGTTTGTTCGGGGGTACACTATTGTGTCCAGCTGCTTTCCTGAGGTCATGATTTTTTTTTCAATCATTTCCTTTACCTTTTCCTTTGCTTTACTCCTCTTTTAATTACATAATTACTTTCTTAGTTTCTTTCATTTGAAATTCTCAGAAATGCCCAGTTTCCCAAAATACATGATGCCTTATTAAAACCCAATTAAAAAACATCACTGAAACAATTTTTCAAGGGGGTAGTCCATGCGCAACCCTGATACACAATAGTGTGGTTTGTTTGAGGATACACTATTGTGTCCAGCTGCTTTCCTGAAGTCATATTTTTTTCAATCATTTCCTTTACCTTTTCCTTTGCTAGCTAAAGTTTTTTCCTTTTAATTAATTCCTTTCATAGTTTATTTCACTTGAAATTCTCAGAAATGCCCAGTTTCCCAAAATATATGATGCCTTATTAAAACCCAATTGAAAAACATCACTCAGACAATTTTTCAAAGGGG